CTCTCAAAAAAAAAAGGGGGGTTTTTTTTTTTTTTTTCCCGGGGGGGGGGGGGGTGAAAAAAAAAAAAAAAAAAAAAAAAAAGACCATGTACATAGTAATAGATGTTTGTTATATTAGAAGCTGATGTTCTCCACCGCAAAATGTAGCATTTTCCTCCTCGTTTCTGCATCTGTTTTTAATCAGGTTGTGCCTAACTACGAAAAGCAGCGCTGCAAAACTCGAGTTGAAAAAGGAAATGTTTCAGCTTCAGAAAATGAAGCCAACATTTGTTGCTTATTTGCTTCAGACAGTAAAAACATAGACTTTGACCATTTAATCTTAGGTAAACCTGCAGCTAAGGCCAGATTATTCATACCCGTGGCATTTTTGATCAACAAATTGTTTTACAACTGCGTGTCTAAACGATTAGTAACTTTCTTAACTGCGTCTTGCATGTTTTCCCTGGTATGTTTAAAGATTTGCCTTTTGGTGGTGAGGTTGGATCTTTATGGCCAGTTGAATGCTAAATTATCCAAAGCTACTATTATTCACAGACCATTAATGAGCGAATAATCCACACTTATTCTTTGTTGAGAATATTAAGGTTCTTGGAGCCAGCATACACGGAAAAAAGACTGGGTGTGAGCAAATTTCACTTGGTTAAATTGGAGATATTTTTGTAATTACAAACTATGATTTGAACACAAGATCTACAAGAATTTAAAACCAATAAAAACCTATGTTGACTTAAAAACTAATTTAATTAACAAATACTATGCAACACTAGGAAAAACAGAATTGTTAGTTCCCTAAACATAAAAGGGACAATTTCAAAGGCTGAATTAGTTCTGGAGTTTTGCCGCAGCATGAAACGGCTGCATTACTCGGCCAAAACTACTTGAAACTAAATAAATGAAAGTTTTCAGTGCAATTCTCAAATAGCAAAAACGAAGGAATGAATGTACACATTTAAAATGAAAATAAATACGATTCTGCAACCCATTATTGAAAACCTTTTATGGGATGAAACTGAGATGCATAAATGTAAGTACTTTTTAAGACCACACAAGAATGTTACTAATAAATCTGATCAATCAGCATTAGTTTGATGGACAAGCTAGTAGCATAACTGCTACAATTAAAATCATACTTCCTCTCATAGTGATGAATTCAGCTAAAACTCAACTGGAACAGATTCGCTTTTCATTTAAACAAAAATCAAAGAAACTTCCAGCACAAAGGGATAAACAAGGATGCCTCTGATTCATAGCCTTCAGTCAAAGCTGTGACCTTTGCCCTCCCTTCTTCCCCCCTCCCAGCCCCCCCATCATGACTCACCATGGCAAATTTCTTGTTGAGCAACATCTGCTCGGCCAGCACCGACTGGTTGTGGAATAAATGGGGCTGCATGTGGCTCCACATGTGAGGAAACCACCAGAAATCCTTCACATGGGACAGCAGCAGGTCATCTCCCAGGTCCTCCTCGTCCGATCCTGTGTGGGTCAGAGAGTCGGGGCCGCGGGGGGAGGAAGACAAGAGATTGAAACAAGCCAAAGGGGTCGGCAGGAAAAGGCGGATTTAGGAGGAAATTGAAGAGATAAAAATAAAGCAAGACGAGTTGAGACAAAGGTAAAGTGGGAGCAGCGATGGAAAAAGGGAGGAAATGAAAGTCAGCGAAGCAAAAGGAAGAGACGTTCACGTATCAGAGTGAAGGATTAGCAACAGCGAGGAGGAAAGAAATCAAAGGTTAAAGGACGGCAAAGAGCAACAGCAGAAAAAGGCTTAAAAAGTGTTTCGGTTTGGGATGCTTTCGGGCTCTGCGTGCGCTAACTAGCATCTCTTACCAGCGTGAAAGAATTTCCCTGAGAAGCCCAGATTGAAGGTGAAGTTGGGCACATGGGTGCGCAGCTCCCTCTGCGTCTCCAGCAGGGCCTGAAACGGTGGGAGGGGAAGAAGAATGAGTCAACAGATGATGAGCTCAAACTGGCGCGTGAGTACGTTAATGAGCAACGCGTGCCCACATATATCTTTAATTCTGCGAGTTTCTCTCGGTAAACATCCAACATCCACTCCCAGCTGCCGCCTCGCCGCTCCCCCATTCCGTTTGATATTTCGCTTCCCTCTGATTCGGGTGTTTGTTTCATTTGATCTAAATGCTGGATGAGGCTCCCCGCACGCAACACGACTCCCCCCTCTGCCACAACCCGCTTTCAAACTTCTCAATCTTGTCGGGGAGTGGGATTCGTTCCTAAAACCTTGCCGCTGCGGAGGCCTTAAAGCCTCCACCGTAACTTTTTTTTTTTTTTTCCTCCCCTTCCACCCACCGTCTCTGCATGCGAGGGGAGGCTTTTCTGCTCTGAGGGGACGAAAGCAAGAAGCTTTTCGACATTCTTTGTATGCCTCCGAGCCCCTGAAATATTCATCGTCGCAGAGGTTTTTGTGACAGAGCGAGCGGCGGGGCCTGTCAGCTTTGAGCAGCCTGCTGGGATGGATCCATTCAGAAACGAAAAGAGGAGAGAGAAGAAGGGGTTTCTGTGTGACTGGCAGAGGATAGGACATGCTTTGTGTGAGGCCATTTTATTTTTGAATCATAGCAAAGCGCTGTTGAAAACACAGCCAGATGAGGAGATAAGCGAGGCTTGTTTTGCGACTCACCTTCACATCAGGCACCTTCATGCGGGTGCCTTCCTTGCCCACAAAGATGTCATCTATATCCACCAGGATGTAGCGCTCCAGGGACAGCGAGAGCCTCTTCCCGGTGAGGAAAGCCACGGCGTCCACAAACACCAGCTTGTGCAGCCAAAAGTTCAAATTATTGCCAAACAGGACCCTCTGGATGCCGTCGTGAAGCCCCAGGTCCTGCACCACCGAGGGCAGCATGGCCGCGTTCTGCCCCAGCGACGCCACGCTCTCGGCCGACTGGGTCTTCGCCATCAGCACGGGCTCGTAGGTGGAGTGGTTGGACTGGAACACGGTCCAGTCGTCCCCCGGCAGGGGACCGGGCAGCGTCTGGCCCGCCCGGGTGATTAGGAGGAGCGGCGACTTGGGGTTGACCATACAGTCCTTCAACCCCAAGTTGGAGTGCAGAAAGAGGGGGAAGCCTTTGAGTTGCGCGCTCAGCAGGCTGTTTTCGTTGGCCTGATCGACGCAGAGAGAGGCAAGACAGAAATGACAACAATTAATCATACATATTGCAAATAACTCCCTATTTTCTTTGGTCTCGTGTGTGAAGCAAGGCGTGTCAGGCCGACTCAACGGCGAAGGCATTAAGCGGTTCCAACCTGCTAACGCTCAATCTGCTGTGCTACGGTGAAAAAGCTGCTCTCAGATTGACGCATCGGTGACAACAAACAAATCATTCTCTGACTCTTGTCTTTTCTTTACATTTGCTCTTTTTGTGCGACTTGCAGTGCGTCATGTAAAGACTCTCAGCCCTTCGTTGTGTCAATATTTCATCACATAACTAAAAAATAAATTTTATTCGGATTTCATTTGACAACTCAAAACAAAGTCGTACGTAAGGAAAATGATGAATGTTTTTCAAAGACTTGAGATCAAGTCTTTGCATCATGATAAATTAAAACGAGCTCGAGCGTCTCTGTTCTGATGGTTAATGTCTTTTGAAGAGCTACCGCGATTGCCGACGTCGCAATCCACTTTATTTAGTGTTTTTATTTCTCTTTAATCTGTTGTTTTCAGTTGTGCATTCATTTGGATATTGTAAATATCTTCTCTTTCCAGCGTTCTTCACAAAATTAAAAGCTTATTTGTCTTTGAGAGGGCAAACTCGCAACATTATGCATTTGTCAATATATTACTTGGAAATGGTCTCAAAACAACAATGTTGTTATTATTCATCACAATCATTCCTGGAACAATTTAGCAAACAGCAAAATGTGCCATCGCGACAGGGTTTATATGCAAACACACTGAATGATGTGTTTGTTTTCATCCTCCTTCGCTCTGATTATTCTGAATAAAATCCAGTGAAACCTTTCAGAAAGTCACCCAATAAACCGAGTTCAAGTGTGTGATTTAACCTCAGTACGATATGAATACAGCTGCTCTGTGGAGGTTTCTGGGGCTTTTGTTGACAGGACGGGCAAGAAGAGCAACAATCAGAGAAGAAGCCATGAAGGCGATGGAAACCAACCCTGAACACACCATCGTCATGATGAAACACGGTGGTGGCGACAGAGACAGAGAGGCTGCTCAGAGTTAATGGGAAGATGGATGGAGCCAACTATCAGGCAATGCTGGATGATCTCTGCTTGGGGCTGCAGAACCGGGATGAAGGTTCGTCTTCCAGCAGGACAACAACAAAACGCACAACCCGAACATGTTTAGCTTTAAACAAATTCATCTTTAAGAGTCCAGATGTAAATCCATTTGAGGATTTCTAGAAGGACTAGAAAGTCGATTGTAACAAACAAACAATATTACTAAGCTTCAGCTATTTGACTAAAGAGCTGTCCAAATTTCTATTTCACAATCACACTGCTTTGCATTCAGTTGTAAAGTGACTGAATGTGTAAAGATTTAAGTATTATAACTACGTCAGCAAGGCACAGCCAGAACCTCCACAGCCTATGTGGTTGTTGTAGGATGAAGCTGGAAGTTACTGTTGTTTATCCACCAAGATGTGTAGATTAGACCCTCATAGGTTGAAGTGACACTAAATCTGAAAATCAGTGCTGAAATCACCGTCTTAATCTGAACAAAACCGATTCTCTTTCAAACAGCACCTGTTAAATTCATATCTATTTGCAGATTGAAACGGTTGGAAAGTAACAACTTTCACAAATGATTTTGAAACAATGAAAAGAGTAGAGGAGTTTTGCACAACTAAAGTAAAGCAACAAAAGGCAATGAGCCTTCGCTTAGTTTTACAGCTCGAGTTTGACACCTTGAACAGAGACGATGCCTGTGCCTCAACAGGAGGCTCCTGAAGCATATCGGATTCCTACGAGAGATAAATGACAGCCAAAACTTAACAACAGCTTTATGTTCAGCATAACTGTGAGCAGGCAGAGGGGAACCTGATCTGAGAGGGGATGCAAAAATAACCCTATGCAAAACGTTTAAACGCTTTAAGAATAATAATAATAATAATCATTCAAATTTTATTACCTTTAATTTAGCATTCGAAGGGGATTCGGTGTCTAATCTAATAGGTTTCAGATTGGTATCAGAACAAATGTCTGAAATGGATCTCGGGTAGCCCTGTGTTTAATAAACAGGAAAACAACCCAGCAGAGACCTGAAACAGGACCCAGTGTTTCAGATGACCATCTATTGTAAGCCCCGTTTTCAGCTCGGCATTTCTGAAACGTTATATCTAGAGATGCACAGAGAAATCAGCCTCCGACGACTGCCGGCTCGGTCGGCTCTCAACCTTTCTATGAAATTGGATTTGAAAATGTTTGCAGTGTTTTGTAAGTCACAGAATTAAAGATGCACATCCTCCAGGTGGAACAGACCAGAGAAATCCAATGACGGGGAATAATGGGAATAATATAAAAAAAAACTGAATAAAATTTGAGAGTTGAGCTTTACGATGTTTCTAATTATATAAGCTTTTAATATTTGTGAAACCCGATTTGACAACAACTTCTCTCTCCTTCCCATGCAGCTTGACATCACCTCTGCTCCCGACATGAAGAACTATGGCAGCGGAAAGACTAGAGGAAACTATTTTCAACACTGGTCTTCTTATTGATAGATGTTTACGGACGCTCTGCATCTCATCTCATCAAGCTTTGGCCAAGAACGGTCAAAGCTGTCAAACTTTTGAAAACAGTGTTATTTCCCTTCTACTTCACAATCACCCACTGCTTTGTGTCGGTCTATCACGTAAGATATTCCACTAAAATACAAGAATTCAGATCAAAAACCGGAGAAGGAGCTCCACACATCTTTGTCTGCCAAACTGTGAAGTCCGTGGTACTTTTCAGGGATTAATCCAAAGTATTGAGATCGGTTTGTGTCTGCGCGGTAGACTGCTGGTTGTCAAGTTGTCTGTTCGGTGCTGATGACACCCTTTTCAGTTTAGAAGGCTTTTTATGCATGAATGACTCATAGGTCAGAGGGAAGTGTCTAAAATAAAAAAAAAAAAAGTAGAAATGAGAGAAAAGACAGACTTTCAGAAAGCCTGGAGAAATATTGATCAAAACAACTTCAAAAGATTAGAAGAAAGTCTGGCGGCTAGAAGAAAGCGTGAAGAAAAGAGGGCTTGTTTTAAACATTCGCACTCCGCCATATGCAATCTAACGAGTATAGTTGGCATTTCTGTCAAATGTGGGTTAAATTGTCTAAATAATCTTTAAAGATGTTGCTACCAATCGGCCTCTATATATTACATGGTGATCCAGAGGTTTTACAGTCTAGATCTGTAAAAAAAAAATATATATATATATAGACTCATGTTTTATAAATGTGACAGGAAATGTTTCTGTGCAAACAATTCAGAAAGCACATCTTTTATGTGACAGATCCATTAAGATGCACATCCTTGTTCTTTCTCAACAGGCAGTAAAATCCCACCAGGCTAACTTTCATCTGCCGCCCCCCAAACATCTCCATCCATGCCTCCGCGCTTCTATATTCTCTCCATGGCTCAGAAAGGGTGATTAAAACCATAAGACCTGAAAGATGGCCTCAGGCAAACAGAGGCCTCTGGGGATAACTCAGAGAGCAAGAACGCGGGAATAAGAGTTATAGACCGAGACATAAATAGAGGAGAGAAAGGCAAGAGACACTACAAAGACAAAGTGCAGAAAACAAGAATTAACAGACTGCTGGAGAGGAGCAAAGGAGGCCAGATTGCAGAAAAAGAGAAAGAAACGGATATAAAGAAACCAGAAGAGAAACGCAGGATAGAGCAAAGCAGCTGAGTGATATTGAACAAGGCAGGTCTTTCCAACTCTGTAAATCCCATCTCCTTGGAGATGGTGGGAGCCAGATGGACAGGGCAGAAGGTGTGAGGGAGCGGGGGGGAGGGAGGTGAGAGAGGCACAGGGAGTGTGCTGTTGTCCTAACCTTGAAGAAGCCGATGATGCCCACTCCGTATTCCACGCAGTATTTATCCAGCAGCTCTCGGTTCCAAGCGTCCAAGTTCACATACTTGAGAATGTTTTCGTAAATCACCAGCGTGAAACGCCCCCTCTCCTTGTCCGTCAGGGTGGGCATGTCCCCCTTCCCGGGAGAGATCTCAGTCCGGTACTTGAACCGGCCGGACTCCAGGATGGCCACGATCTCCTGCCCCAGTTGAGAATATTGGCTTTCCACAAACACCAGAACCACAGGATCTGTCCTGGTCCCTCCGAGGTCCACCCCGGACGCCCCCGGGACGCTCCGCACGGGCAGTAGCCGGGACGGGACCACCCTCGGGTAGTCCGAGTCCGCGGAGGCTCCGTCGGGGCCGGACAAGCCCACCGCCGAAGGCTCCGGCTCTCGCTTGACGCCATAGAGGAAGTAGGAGAAGATGAAGACGCTTACGGTGCAGAACAGGAAGAGGATGAGCAGGGAGGTCTGCAGGGGAAGGAGGCGGACCAGCCGACGGAGGCGTGTCACGCATCCCAGCATCGTCTCTCGCCGCACTGCTCCGCCCCACCGGCCCAGCAACACGCCGAGGGGACAGTTCCTCTCAGCGCAGGCAGAGAAAACCAAAAAAAAAAAAAAAAAAAAGACAGAAGTTTTCCCCAGCAG